GTAATGGTTGACAATGAGCATGTGTATCCTGTTTTTTATCTTAGGGGATCACCACCACCCCTGCCTGCCTTCCATTCATAACTTGTCCACCAGATGCTCATAATTCCTCTCTGTGGTGGTTGCTATTATTCATTTTCATTCTACCCATATCTCTGCCTTTGTTTTGTTTTCATGATTATTGTCCTATTGACTTAACTCGAGTTCCCGCGGGAATCAACTTCCTAGATATTTCATTGCTCTAAATACCTTACTATTCCCTACCTCAGGAATCCAGAGCTAATGAAATACATGTGTTCAGAGCAGAAACAAGGATGCTTGAGAATATGTGATCCAAACCGCCACAGGGAAAAGAAGTGTGGTAACGTTGCTGAATGATTCTGCTGCTGACACTAGATGGTTTAGCGGAAGAGTAAATTACCCAAGAGGGCTGATAAAATGAGTTGCTGGATATTTGTCGGTATATCTTGAAGAATCACTCAGATTCAACTCTTTGGCCCGGTCCTATCTGTCTGTGTGTCTGAACATCCATGAGACTTAAGCTTTTTACTTTAAATTGTTAATCCAGAAAGGACGGATTTGTTTCTGCTAAATTCTGAGGCTGGATGGTCTTCCACCAATGCTCAGATGACTGGTGCTTGTGACCTCTTCTCTCTGTCAATAATTACTCTGTTAATAATTACATACTAACTCTGTTCTACTTCACTAGTTTGGGATAATCTGTGGATGCATGACGTTCTGGTTTTTGAGGCTTTACCTTCGAAACAAGAAGGCGTAGTATTTATAAGTCATCTGGAGTCAAAAATAATACTCTATCTTCCCTAAAAATCTTTTTTATATCTGTTACTAACCAAGTGTCTTGAAAAACCATGAAATATTATTTGGAACTAAATTTAAAATACTACCATTTGATAGCCAGAAAGGAAAACGATGGAAAAGTTAGTAATATACTTCATGAAAATTCAATGAGAACAATAGATATTACATAAGTCTAAAATATTTCTTATGGAGGCCCTCAAATATGCAAAAATAATTATTGGCCTGCCATAGAAGGAAACTAATCTGAATTTAATACTCCGTAACTTAAAGACTAAAAGTTGTAGTTTGATTGACAGGAGCATGCATAGTCTATGAAGTAAGGGTAGAAGACAGATTTGAATTTCACATTTTTTTGCCTGGTTAACATTCACATATTCATTTTTCATATAAAAATTCATTATGTAACTGTAATTTTATATTTAATAGTTATCATATGGCAACTGAAGGAAAGATATGCAAAGTTTTTAAGTCGTTTTCAAAATGCAATGGCAATCAGAAATAGATAAAGAAACAGAACAGGGCAAATACTTCGTGCATTCAAAGCAGTTAACAAGCCATCCACTTTAGCTTCTTGACAAACTTCATCTTTGGTCACTAATTGCATATGTAAATGCTCACAGATACATACACATTGTCACCTGCCCACATAGTTAAATTTTGTTTCTGAATCATGCCAGTCTCTTCTTGACTCCCTCACTCACGTTCCCATCCCCAGCTTTACATAGTCACATGTACCCATGTGGCATTTTGATTAAAATGTCCTTGCTATTGATGAATGCAAAAAGTAACTATGAAAGCTTCAGACGGCACTGTGCTTTGAAACACGTAAAATATCAGATTAGCAGCCCGGTAGGAAGTTAAGGTATATGTATGAAATAAAGTAAGTGATGAGATGCAAACAACAGGACTTACTAGAACCATCGACGAACATGTTTGGTGATGAACTGCACGGAGGACTTGCTTTGAGATATGTGAGATATTTGCATACTAAAGTATGGTATAAATAGAAAGATGAATAAATGCTTTCAGATTGTGCTGGCAGTGAAACAGAAAATAAGATGGTATTTTAAATTCATTTTCTACATTATTTGTATGAATGATTGAGCTTTTGGATATTAAAGTGTTCCATAGCTAGAGACTATTTTATAGTTATAAACGAAAGCCAGGTATTTAGTTTAATTTTAACATTTAAAGTAGAAATGAAGTTTATTCGTGACACATAAATATATACATGTACATAACAAAGATTTGCCACAGTGAATGATGTATTTGTCTGTGTTTAAATCAGTTTTTGAGTTGAAATTGCATTGATCTTAACAGCGATATGGGATATTATCATGGAATTAATCTTAGCTCTCAGTCTTAAATTTTGTGTGTGTGTGTGTGTGTGTGTGTGTGTGTAGAGGGTGGTTAAGAAAGCGGGGGAAAACAAATAGTGAAATAATGAGATAGGAAGTATTTCATAGCATTTGCTTTGTTTGTTTACACAGCTTTTATTTACCATACACTGTTTTTTCCTACATTGCTATAGAAACAGTATCCTGCAGAACTCAGAGACACAATCAAGGATAATTGACAGTCAATAGAATGGAAGCTGATGCCCCTACCTCAAAATCACTGACCCTCACCTAGAGTAACGTCCTGAAATCAACATTTTAAAATCGGACTTGCAGTTTTTATTCTCTTCTGAACCCTCTATGGTGTACAGCCTGTTTAAGATGTGCAATGACACTGGATATTTGTCAAATTGCCTTCTAGTTTTAATACCTCGTCATTTACAAAGGTTTTCAAGAGTTCAAATCTCAAAACTCTTAGCTTTTTTTCCAATGCGATATCATGGAGTCTTTTGACTGGAAGCTTTTTGAACTATAATCATTAAACAATTTAAATGATAAGTGTTGCATTTGCCTCTTCCGCTTTCCACTTCACCTAGCTCAGGAATTGTATCTACAAAAAGAATTGAAACTGCCATCCTGGGCTATCAGGATGGCTCAGCAAGTAAATGTGCTTGTTGCTGTGCCCGATGGCCAGAATTTTGTCCTGGACACTCACAGAGTGGAAGGACAATCTGCTCCTTCAGTTTTTCTTTGAGCCCCCTACACACTCTGAGGTACATACAAATCCATCCATGCATGTGTACATATATGCACTCCCACATACTTAATTTAAGACTAATACCAAGACTATTACAATTATATTATTATTTATAATATCACATTATACAATGTATCATCCACATTGTGCTGTTATACAGTCTATTATATAATACTCTATTATAGTACTATATGATTTTATAATATATAATAAAATAAAATAAAAATTTTAAAGATATAAAGCTATCCTCTCTAGTTTCTCTGCCATCACTCATCCTCCCCTTGCCCCGACTCTCAGGTCAGACTAGATCTACCCTGAACAACCTTAGGCTGGCAAGATCTCACTCAAGCTCCTATTCGCGGCATTTGAAGTACCCACATCACCTTTTCCAAACACAACCAACATAGGCCTCAGACTGACTTCGCTCAGCACTCCTTTTTCTGGACTATCTTTTCTCTCTTCACTTTTTTATCCATTGCTTCTTTGCTTTATAAAATCCAACCCTCTTAAAGGTTGGCTCCAAAGGTCGGTTCTTTCATAACCTGTCTTGCGTTGCTCCACAGAAATCATTCCCTTTTAAGTAACTTCCCTCTCCTTTCACATTTATGATTATCCTGTTATTGTTTATCCATATCACTTCCCCTTCTTTGCCTTACATGAGAAGATAACCTCATCCAAGAACCATAGTCTATCCTTCCTGGTACAGCTTGGAGTTTCTTCTCCAGAGCCTATTATGGGTTTTGGTTTAGAACTGCTTGGATAAACAAGCAATGGAAGAGCCATCAAGTTAAATGTTTATGAAGCATGATTAATGAAAACTCAGATAGAGAAACTGGGGTCAACCTGAAGGTCAGAAAAGTAAACAGCCAGCCATTGGCTCTTACTTCAACCTCAGTCCAAAACAGCAATCCTGCCTCCAGGAATCTCAGAATGAGACTGTATTTGAGAGCTATTTCCTCCTGTTTTACCACCACCTCTAGGGTTGGGATTAAAGGCATGCACTACCCAGTTTCTATGGCAAACTAGTGTAGCTACTGGGATTAAAGGTGTGTGTTACTATTACCTGGTCTGTGAGGCTGACCAGTGGGACTGTTTACTCTCAGATCTTCAGGCAGGTGTTATTTATTAGAATGCAATTGAAATGCCTCTATATCTTTATTTGAAAACTTTTAATAAGAATCTGTTTTCATTGTGAAGGTATGGATCAACATCTGAATTATCTTGGTGAGACCTCTGATTTAAGTTTGATTACTGTGACCCTCCAAGAGATATTCTTTCTTCCTTTAAAACCACAAGGATTTTGACACTCTCCAAGAAATATCTTAAATATTTTCATTATACTTGTCTATAGGTGACATTTCCCTTGTGTTTATCTTTATGTTCTATGTTTTTTTCTTTGTTTTCATTCATTCTCCACCCTTTCTACACCATGTGTGGCTTACAGGGGTGGTCTCAGATATGAACTCTTTCAGCAGCACATCACGGTGAATACATCTCTACCTTTTGGGACATACTGTGAGACATGGCTCATTTCATCCTCAGAAAGTACTAGTCTCAAACACCAGAATTTGCATTTATAAAGGAAAGCAATACTTTGAAAAGTCAAACTGGATGTCAGTGTTTAAGATTCTCAAACTTTTCTGTTAATACAGAAGATATTAATTGACAAGATAAAATAATTCCAGGGAAAGTACAGGTTGTTGTATTGTGTATACCCATGCATAGTAATTAAATATAGTAAAGGAAAATCTAAGAGATGCCATCAACTCTATTTCCGACCTTTTAATGTAATCTCTATTCCATTTTTTTCCATTTCAAATATATGTAGTCTTGCCACATTACCAAGAGGTGAATTAAAACACAGAAAAGTCCAGAGGTGATTCTAACCTGAAAATTATAATTATACTTTATTATTTCTGCTGAAAACTTTTCCCAATAGCTCAACTCTTTATTAAGTTTATTTAATCTCATGTATTTGTATCATAAGACAATCATTTTCTTAATAAATTTCATTTATCTTGTAAGATGAGATATTCTAAAAATAAAAACTGTAGGTATGTTTTTAGGTGAGTGCATAGAAAATAACTTACCCCCAGTAGCCACAGTGATTTCACGTAGAAAATGACCATAAAATGGAAAATCGAAGGACAGATTCACTCTCTGCAAGGAACAACATCACAAAAAGAAATAAATCAATAATGTGAAGAATGGTAAATGTAAAATAAAGAGCATTTCCATTAAAGCTAAATGATGTTTCTCCTTTACTCAATCGGTACTGTAGTTGACCTTAAAAATGAAGTGTTAGATGGTAATAAAGAATATTTTTTGCAGTTAAGCATCTGAAAAAAAGTTATATATTTGTGGCCTATTGACATCTTTCTGTTTTTACAAAGAATAAATGGAAATTTAAATTCCTAGTCAAGCTATATTCTGACTGCCCTTACCACTCTTGTTTCATTATTTTTAAGGATCTCTCTGCCACTTGATGAGTAAGTTACCTGGGGTAGTTTGACATTTTACCAGTTGATTAAAAAACAGTAGAATAAAAACCAAAGATAGTGCTTTTTACACTATTTTAGCTTTGCTTTTTGTTTTTCTTTATATCCTATAATAAAAAATGATTGAGGGAAGATGATGTCATGAATCTGTAGATGCAGACCTGAAGACATCCTTATGTTTGTTTATTGTAGCGAACTACCCAGACATAACATATTGTGTCCATTTTAAAAGGACACAGTTGAATTATACAGTTGAATTATAAACAGTAGTTACTGGAGAACTATTTCGATTTGGTATAGGAAAAATTGGATAGATGTAGTTAGAAAATTTAAAAGCTTTATTCTTTTATCATCTTAAAGGAGCCTAGAGTATCAATTCATAATATATAAAAGATTTGCTTGTGTATATTTAGTTTAATGCTAATGTATACAAAACTAGTAAAATACAAACGAATAGCGTTTTGTATGCCTAAAACATTATGGGGCAAGACATAAGAACATGCTATATATAACAACAACTAGGACCTGAAAATAATAGATTTATCTTTCCACCTGTCTGTCTGTCTATCTATCTATCTATCTATCTATCTTTATCTATCTATCTTCTGCCTATGTACACATACATATACGTAAATATGTGTATTCAAAGGTAATTAATTAGCCTGGTTAAACCTCAACAGCATTACAGGCTTCCTATGGTAAGGGCTCTTATGCTAACATTCCACCATTTTGACATTCATTTCTCAGAATCTACAAATTAAAATGTAGAAGAGTATGTCTATTGGAATTTAGTTCTCTCCAATTTTGCAAATGATTGCCTTTTCATATCCTTCGGAGATTTCTAATGACTTATTTGTCACAGAGTTAATCATTCAGAATCTACAGTGATTTTCAATTAGTTTTTCTTTCCTTTTTCTTGAAACCCACATCTTCCCAAAAAGTTTTTCATCACATTTATTTTATGCTAACAGTAAAATAAAAATGTTTGTTCTGTGCCACTTGAAATGAGGGGTCACTGACAACACTAAAATGAAAGCAACAATATTAACTGATGTGTCTGAAAGATGTCAAGAATAATTTGATGGCGGCAATTACCATTGTGGACAGAATTTCACCATTCTAAACTCTTCCTCTGCTCATTAGTAAAGTTACATTCTCAGTAACATTTTGCTTTAAATATTTGTCAGTAACAAATCCAGTTTTCACCAAGGATGAATGAGAATCACATGGTAAATATTGTCTCAGATACTGTAGATATTTAAATATGCCTTGAGTTAGACCATGGTGCACAAGTAACATACAAAGTATAGAGAATGAAATAAGTGTTGAAATAAAAGCTAAAAATCCATCATCCACAAGAATTATACCTGTCATTGAACTTCTTTTCCATCTATCTCTCATGATGACATTCTCTTCTTCATACAATAGCACTTAGCAGGTACTGCCATTCAAAAGGCTGCTAAATGCATACATTCCTCTTGAGTCACTAATAATAACTTACCCACAACACACACACACACACACACACACACACACACACCACATTTCTTCACAGACCCTTGGCTCCAGTACCCCATGAAGATACTGTCTAGCATTACTTTATTACCTTGCTCCAAAATCCTTTATTCCATTGGTTTTTCCCCTCCTGGAAATAAGAGGACCACACTAACTCATGTTTAAGACTAAGCCATAACTAGAAGTATTAGCAGACAACTCTGTATCTTGTGGTCCTTCTCATGCTGACCAAAGACTGCAGCTTCTGGTTTTTAAAAACCAATACTCTTAACTTTTGGTACCTGTCCTCCATGACACACGAGCCTTCATTAATCATGGTTTCTATATTTTTAAGTATTGCTCTGAGTTAAGTTGTGTCCTAAGCCAAGATTTAATGACTGAAGAAAATTCTTAACAACAAAACAAAAAACTTTGTGTGCAGAAGGGTGCATATACATGCCCTTATGTGTGTGTGGTATGTGTGACAGAGTATGGGGTATGTGTGTGTTATCCAAGGGCATGCCCATGTGAGAAGGCTGGCATAAACAGGAAGGTCAGAGAGGTATGTGTAGAAGGTCCTCATTTTCTACTTTGATCTCTTGTTGCTCAGTTTCATACAAGATAGACTAGCTGGCCCATGAGTTTTTCAGGAATTCTCTAGATGTTGACTTCCATTTTGTACTAGGTTTTCAGATTACAATGTCTTCTGTGGCCTTGGAGATTTGATTTCACAGTCTCATGCCACTGCAGCAAGAACTCCATGCACTAAGCTATTTCCCCAGCCTAGACAGACCTTCTTTTGGAGGGTGATCTTGGAAGACACGTGCTAAGATATGCAGAAATATTGTGGAAAAAATAGTATCAGACAGAAGGCATGTCATGTGTCACAGGACAAAGTCCCTGCTGTAAAGGCATAAATAACTGAGTTTGGATAGTGAGTTTCCCATAGCAGTCTGGGCATGATGGACATAATGGCCACAGTCCCAGAACTAGGGGCTGGAACTGTGTATTCTGGAAGACTTATGGGCCAGACAGTCTGCTCCCAAACAGTGAGTTCCAGGATCAATGAGAAACCCTGTCTCAGAAGATAAAATAGAGAAGCAATTGAGGGAAACAGACTGATGTTAACACCTGGCATCTATATGCACCTGCACATGTGAGTACACCTACACATATACATATGCCCACGTGCATATGCAACTATATATATCAAACACTATATACGCATACACACTGGGAAGACAGAGAACAAGAATGAATGAGTACCACACTGGATATTCTACCACAGTCCATAAGCACAAAGAAGAGATAACCCAATTCCTAAGGTGCAAGCTGTCTGAACAGTTCCTGTCAGTAAGCTCTTTGAAACAGTGGGGAACGTGCCTGATTATCATGGAAAGGCAGGAAGCAGGCCATTCTTCCAGCTAGCTACTCATTCTCTGTACTGACTCAGGTCATGCAACTGCTCAACTCTCCTCCAACTTGAGCCATGCCTCGGGCAGAAAGAAGAAATATGACTTGAGCTGGGAAGTTACTCATATGTCAGAAACAGCTTCCTATCAGTGGACAGTGAAGAATCAACGGGGGCCAAAAAGTGGGGTGGGGGCTTTCAGAGTTCAGTTATCGCTTCCTTAGCTCAGGTTTGTCTTCCCAGAATAACTCACTCATCTGTCTTAATATCTACATGTACAAACTGAATAGCTTTACACAGTCTTATTTTGCAATCCTTCAGTGTAAAAACTACTCAGAGTCAGAGTGCTTAGTGTGGCTCACGGAGAAACCTAAGATTTGAACCTAGGTTTGATTACAAAGGCAGTGATCTCAAATACTGAAATAGTAAACACAAAGTGCTAGACAAAATTAGGGAAATAATAAGTTTCCCACCTAAACATGTGTTATAATAAGATATCAATATAAACCAGCTTTAAAATTTTATTAAGTGCCTTCAAGTCAAATGATTATATATTCAATGTAATTACCCATAACTAATTAGATTATTATTTTTCCCAGGATGATACATGTAAAAGGGGTATCAGACAAGAATAAGGGGAAGTTTTATTTTTTCACGTTTTCATTCTTCATTCATCACTGTGTGTGAAACAGAGAGGTAGACAATGAGTAAATTTCACAGAGTCTCCTTAGTGATGGGGAGAACATGACTGAAGGATACATAATAGGACCATGTGACGACAGAGTAGTATGAAGAAGTGGCAATTGAGTTCAAGTTCAGGTACCCTAAATTGATTGTTTAAACAGGAAGCACCATAAGTTCTTCACAAAGACCTTAAAATAAGACCAAAAACTTTGAAACTGCAAGAGAAAGACATGAGAAACCTTTCAAGAAAGGCAATAACTTTCTGAATAGAATTTTCACTGACCCAAATCTAATAACAAGAACCGACTAACAGGATTGCACCATACTAAAACTCTCAGTACAACAAAGAAAACAAAGACCACAGTGAAGAAGAGATGGTCCACAGAATAGAAGAAAATCTACAGTGATTCATCCTTCTGATATTTACTATCCAGAGTATATAAAGACCTCAAAACATTAAAGATCTAAAGAACAAGTATTTAATAAATGGGAAACTGAACTGAAAAGACACTTTTCATGTAAAGAATATAAATGGTTAATAAATGAATAAAACACAACGAACATTCTAAAGAAATGCAACTAAAACCCACTAGTGTTCCATCTCACCCCAGTCAAAATGGCTGTCATTGAGAAACATAAGTAATAAGAAAACAAATGTTAGTGAGGATGTGATAGAAAAAGAAATATATGGTCTGGCTACATCACTCCTGGGTGTATACCCGAAAGGAATCTAATATATCACAGAGTTCTTCATATTTTTATGTTTATCACTGTATAATTCTAATAAGCCAAATTACAGAATCAGCCTAGGTAGCTGGCAGTAAATAAATGGACAAAGAAAATGTTGCAGCCATACACAATATAGGGTTATTGATCTGTTAAAAAAAATTCAATCATATTACATGCAGGAAAATGGGTGGAACTAGAGGTCATTATGAAAGTAAAAAGCTAGACTCATAAAGGCAGATACCATGTTTTCTTTCATATGTGGAATCAAAGAAAGTAAGAATAAGGGAAAATAAGAGAAAACAAACAAACAAAAACAACAGGACCCAAAGTGGAGTAGTGTTAAT